CTTCAACTTCAGATAGGTGTAGTTGGGGATGGCCATGAACTTCGGGTAGCATGGACGTCCTAGGATGGCGTGGTAGGTCTAGTGGAACCCGACCACCTCGAAGGTAAGGGTCTCCATCCTATAATTGGTTGGATTCCCGAAGGTGATGGGTAGATCGATCTGCTCGAGCGGCATGGCCTGCTGTCCAGGCACGATGCTATGGAAAGGCGCCTTGGTTGATCGGATGTGCGATCGATTGATGCCCATGGCGTTGAGCGTCTCAGCATACATGATGTTGATGCCACTACCTCCATCCATCAGCACCTTGGTGCGCCGCTTTGTGCCAACGGTCGGGTCGACCACGAGTGGGTATCTTTCTAGCTATGGGATGCTTTTAGGGTGGTCGGTCTGATCAAAGGTGATGGCAGACTCTGACCATTGGAGGAAGGAAGGCATGGCCAGCTCGGCCGTATAGACCTCGCGGCACGCAAGCTTCTAGCGGCGCTTGGAGTCATAGGCCACCAACCCCCTGCAGATCATGAGGCAGCATCCGACGTCGGAAAGCCACCGTCCTTCCCCTCGGCATCGTTGGCCACCATCTTGGGCTCCTTCCTATGCTCCCCCTAATTGGAGACATTGGACAGGAACCGCTTCATGAGGGCACAGTCTTTGTATAGGTGCTTGACAGGGAAGGCATGGTTTGGGCATGGCCCTTCAAGCAGCTTCTCGAAGTGGTCTGGGGTACCCTCGATGGGCTTTCGACCCCCCTTGTAGTCGGCAGCGGCCATGAGTAAACCCTCGCGCTGCTGCTTGTTCTTTTTCTTGTTGGGGTGGTTGGAGGCACCTTTGTCGGCGTCCTCGTCCCGCTTTGCCTTGCCCTTGGGACGATCAAAAATCGCTTCGACTGCCTCCTCGCCCGAGGCGTGGCTAGTGGCGATGTCGATGAGCTCCTTGGTGGTTCATGGGCCCTTTGCGTCCTAGCTTGTGAACCAGGGACTCACAGGTGATCTCGGACAGGAAGGCTCCTATAATGTTGGCGTTGGCGATGTCGAGCAGCTCGTTGCACTGCCAGGAGAAGCGCCAGATGTACTCACGAAGAGTTTCCCTAGACTTCTGTCGATAGTTTTTGATATCCCATGGGTTCCTAGGATGCACGTAGGTGCCTTGAATGTTTCTCACAAAAATCTCCTTTAGGTTCGTCCAGCTTTGAATCTGGTTGGGCGGAAGGTGCTCCAACCATGTTCGCGCTGAGTCAGCTAGGAACAATGGGAGATTGCGGATAATGAAACTGTCAATGTCCGCTCCACCGGCTTGGCAAGCAAGCCGGTAATCCTCAAGCCATAGTCCGGGGTTCGTTTTCCCAGAGTGTTTCAGGATATTGGTCGGCGGTCGGTACCGTGGTAGGAAGGCAGTGTTGAGGATGTGTCGGCCGAAGGCCTAAGGTCCTAGTAGGTCAGGGCTTGGGCTCCAGTCCTCGCCGCTATCATAGCATCCGTCGCGATGAGGGTGGTAACCACGGTTGGCTTTCTCTCTCTCATCGCTTCGTCCACGCCTACGGGAATCTAGGGTGTTTCATGTGTCACGATGGAGGCCGAGACGCTCATGCACCAGGGCCATGGCATGCCCCCTGCTATTGCTCGGTGCCTAGTGGACAGACAAGTCCCTGACATGTCGTCCTGAGGGCGCACGCTAACTGGCGTTGAGCTCACATCACCGAGATACCGAGCTCTTCGCCTGCTACACCGCCGTGCGCTCGAGCAGCATGCGGATCTTACGATGGACCCAACGATCCTCTGGTGTCACAGGCTCTGGGAGCCCTCGGAGCAAAGCCACGAGCGAAGTGTGGGAGGGCTCCATTGTCTTCGATGATCCTCCGGTTCATGTCACGGGCCATGGCGCGCGCACGCCCACCGTCTCCGTGGTGTTTGATCTCTCGCTCGAGCTCTACGCTCTCATGCTTGAGTTGGAGTCGTGCATCCTCGAGCTCCTGGTGCCGCACCCTTAGCCATTCCACCCGCATACAAGGAAAGGCCCCTGCATCTTCCTCGACCACATCGTCGAAGTCGTTTGGTGGGGTAGCCCCTCCCTCGTGGACGCTTTCGACACATCCCTCAGGGGTACCTGCCATAAAACATTCTCGTGAGGGGTGATGGCTCCCCTGCTAGAGTTAGAGTCGGAGAGCGACTCTGAATCTCTCATGAGAAGGTCGTGGAAAGATTCCGTGATGTATTCGGTCATCTCCATGAACTCATCGTTCGTCGGGGATGGGTGCATGCGCTACGCCACGAGGTGGCAAACAGTCCTCACAGCATTGCGCAGACCGAACGGTAACGCTGTCGGGGCGCCCCGGGTGAGGTGTTCCAAGGAGAGCGGGTCTCCTCCGGCAAGCTACGTCATCACGTTGGCGAACGAGAAGGTGAGGTAGTGTAGGTCCTCTCAGGATGGTCGGGGTCTCAGGAAGGCATCGAGCTAGCGCCCTAGCCTCCCGTAATCGAAGTTGAGGAGCTGGTCGCTCCCGAGGGCACGGGCCTCCGAGGCGTGCAGTTGTAGCTCCTCAAGTGCCTCGACGATCAAGTTGAGGCCAGCGGAGTGGAGAGGTTGGACGGCCGTGGGAGCCCACGCCAACTCTCCCTCTATGGTGATGAAGAAATCCAGTCTCCAGAAGTGCGCGTGCATGCCTGGGACCCAGCTGACGTCGCGACTAGCCATCCGAGGCCTGATGTGGACGTCGAGACGCACAAAAAACCCCTACCTGGCACGCCAACTATCGGTGTTTTGGATCACCGGCTAGTAAATTTGTATCTGTGCGTCTGACCTGGATGGTGTGCTTAGAGGACACAAGGATTTGTAGTAGGGGTTACAAACGGGCGAGAGACGGAGCAGATCCTAGGTCTCTGGTGGAAGGATTAAAGAGTGCTGAGAGTTTATTCAGCTGCTCAGCCGTATGCTCCTCCTCTACCGTGGGGCGTCCTACTTCCCCTTTTATAGGTGAAGGGGGAGGTGCAGGTTATAGAGAGAGAAAAGGATAAAAGCGAGGGAGAAGAAGGACTCTAGGGCCACCTCGTCCTTCTTCTCCTTCATGTTGGTCCCACCGATGCTGTAGATGGTGACTGGGATGGCTCCACGTCAGGCTCCTATTCACCACTGGTGCCATGCCTCAACGTCATCGGCTGGTCGTGGCGTCCCATCCCATCCCGGCGAACGGCATGGTGAACTGACATGCCAGTCAGCGGTTGTACGGGGAGTATGCAGCACAGCGACCACGCACCCGTCACTATTGGCGATGCGAACCCCAGGCATGTCCTGAAATGGCCACGGGTCATGTCAAGACATGCCTGCTTTCCTCCCGGTGTCAGAAGTTTGACCCTGGGGTCGTACCCTTAGACCTATAGTGGTTGGAGGCGGTATGGAACCTCGTCGGGCAAGACGGAGCCCACGCCCTCGGGGTCAGGCAGGACGGCTCCTGTATCCTCGGGGTCGGGTGACACAGGGCCCGTGCCCGAGGGGTTAGCGAGGCGAAAACCGTCCCTTCGGGGTCGGTCGAGACTGAAATATGTCCTCGATTATCTAGGCGAGTTTGTCGTCCGCGGTCCTCAGATCCCTTCTTCGGGTATCCCTAATATTGATACCCGACACCAAGCGATCAAGTGACGAAACGAGCCTCGATAGCCTAGCTCCGGTGGTGGAGGGGTTGGATATGGACAAGTCGGAGCCGGCGCGGACGAGGAAGACGTTGGAGGGGTTAGAGCTGAAGGAGCGACCAGAGGAGACGGGGCCTACAGCCACGGCGTATCAAGGAGCGCCATCCTGGTGGTGGGCCGTGTGGCCCCAGATCTAGGCCCGCTGGGCTTCCTCGGCGTTGTAGGTCGTAGAGGCGGCTGTGAAGGCTAAGGAGGCAAGCGAACCAACAACCGCCGGGGCCGTCATGCCCGACAATGAGATGACAGCGTGGCCGGGCGGCAACCCTGCCACCTTCGCTGCCACCGGCGGCCGTGCATGGCTGAGCAAGTTGGGCATGCAGGGAGGATGGAGGAAGGGGGGGAGGGGGAGGCAGCCGCTAGAGCCAGGGCAGCAGCCGCCGGCAGTGGTGGCGTGGAGGGTTGTCGTGGGCGCAGCCGAGCGTTGAGCCCGCCAGTTGGGGAGGAGGGGTGCGTGGAGTGGAAGGAGGAAGGGGAGGGAGGAGGAGGGGGAGGCGGGCGCCGCTGTCGGAGCGGCAGCCGGCGCCACCGTCGACGGGGTGGAGGTGCCTGCCAGGGCACGCAGTCGCCTTGGGGTTCAAGCCCAGGGGTCCTTTTCCTAGCGACCGATTACATTTGGTTGATTGGATGCCAGACTAGTTATTACTCGTATTAATGATGGACCCACGCATGAACCAGGTTACAAATTCGATTCTTATTTGTTGGTAATCTAGCTTGGCTCAGCTCATTTTCTCCTGGCTATATTTAGAATAAGGTGTGCCTAACTCTAGCCAAGTGGGGCTCGTCTAGTTTTTCTTTTAGCCAGACACAGTCGTCCGTGTCTTTCGCTTTGTTCATGAGTAGTGGAGGTACTCGGCGTGTTCCGTGGGATGGCGCAGTCGAGTCGGAGGTCACGGTGAGTGCAGCGTCGTTCAATTAGGGTGAGTTCGCGGCACCAAATCCACTTGTCATCGTGTGCGTTTGTGAGTTCGCGGTGTTCAATTAGGGTGATCGGCTCTGTCACCGGCGAGGGGCGCCGGCAGCATCGACAACATTATTTGCCACCAAGGAATCAAGTTACCAATTATAAACTGATGACCACAACAATGATACAACCTCATTTACTGAACAGTACAGTGCAAGTACACAAAGGTAGAAAAATGCAGAACAGACTAATCTCCCACCATCAGAATAACCAATCAAGTTCCTGGATTGAAGATCAACACATATCCTCAGCACACGTCCAAGTTGTGTTGCGGAACTTATATGGTCGCATACATGTGCTTGAGGTCACTTTGCGCTGCTTATATCATCTCTGGAATAATTTCTTCCACCTTGTTCAATTCACTGCCGCTCGTTTTGGGTTTGCCTAGCCATGCCTCTCTGAACATTTGTGGTCGCATCCCCATAGACCTCCTCAATTTCCGAGCTTTCAGTTCCCTCCATCTTCAGTAGTCCTGTACTTGTAGTACTTGAGTCGCCTGCCTCAAGATCTTTGGCTCCCTTCTCCTTGTCCTTGTTGTCTTGTGCTTCATCAATGGTGATCCCAATGTGGTCTCTCTCCCACATAGCATCTCCTCCAGTTCGCCTTTTCTCGATCATCCCAGCAGCAGCCCCATCACCGCCACCGTTCCCCACCTGTGGCTGTGGCTCATTGTTTTCAGGGCTAGTATCCTTTGGCCACAAGCTGCTCTCTTGGATGCCACAGTGCCAGAGCAATGCCCAGACGTGGGTTATGAGCTCCCCTGCAGAGAGACACTTCCTGTGTGCCAGTGCATTCTTCGTGGGCGCAGTGTGTATGAGCAGCTCTGTCCACACGTCTGCGAGGATCTCCCAGCGGCCTTCCTCGGTGGGGTGCCTCAGCAGCTCCTTGCCCAGTGCGACGCCTTGTTTCAGCACGTCCTCCTCATCTCTTTGTGCGCCATCGTCCTTGAGTGCTTGAGTGCCTTGTGCCTTACCTGCTTCGTCCATGAGTGCCTTGAGTGCCTTGTGCCTTTCCTGTAATGAACCAGTGCCTTTGAAAATGCCATCACGAGCACTCCTCACGGCTTTCTGGAAGACTATCTTGGGGACAAGGAAGCTATCAGGGATCAGGTCAGGCTTTGATACTAGCAGGTACGTGCAGTACCGCGACAAGCTATTGGCAATGATGTATGCTCTCCGGAGGTTGCCTGCACGCAACTTCCCATTCACTTGCTGCTTCTTCTCCTCCGTCTTGCCATCACTTGATTTGGACGATGAGCAGCAACAATTTGAGAACGTGAACCATGACAAGCTGCTGCTGCTGCAGCAGCCTTTCTTATCATCCACGTCCATAAGATACGGTTTGGACGAGCAGAGAGAAGAGAGCCAAGACAGGAGGGAGCACGGGAACCCAGGGCCAAGGTTTTTTTTATCGGCCGAAATTCACGGAAATTTCCGAAATTTCCTTTCTATCCACAGGGTCCGATAAAATTTGACATCGGCCAAATTTTTCCCTTCTTTCCTGCTTCTACACGGACAACCCAAATTCAGCCGTGCGACAATCCCACACTATAATGTTTTATTTTTGTTTTTATCTGTGAACAAGCGACGTTTAATAGCTTAGGAATAGTTTCAAGTCAAATTCTACGGAATTTTTTCAAAATAATTTGAATTTTTTTTGAATTTGGTCCGATATTTCCGATATATCTTGCTTATCCTCTTTATCCATGACCTCCGATAAATTTTTATTTCCGATAATGAAAACCTTGCCCAGGGCTGCCCAGGTCGACGCCGTGCGTCGTTGCCAGCTCCATCTCGCAGAGGCTGGTCGCGATGTGCCACACAAGAATGATGTGGGAGGCTGTCGGCAGAACGACGCCGCCGCCGCCGCCAGTGGTTGCACTGCTCGGTCGTGCAGTGTACGCCTGGTACCTCTGCATCTCCATGCTAAGGCTGGTGTCGGACAACGTCTTGATGAACCCGGGCAGCAGCTGGCCACGACGACCTGCCCGTCCATCTCCATTATCCTCGGTCAGCTCGCTGAGCTTCTCCAGGACTTTCTGCCTGACACAGTCCGGGACTTGGACGGCGCTGCCGAGCTTTGCGCCATCCTCCTTCTTTGGAACAATGCCCGTGGTCAGGTTGTGGATGAGGTTCCAAAACCTTGGCCTATCATCATAGGACTCCACGAAGACATACTGGTCAATATGTCCATGCCACCTCCTATCAGTGACCTTATTAGATCTGGAAATATATAGCAGAATGCAGTACATCCATGTATCGTCTATTGATTGTTTGGTCCTCTCGGTCTCGGACTTGCGTTGCACATGCTCGCACGCCTTGATTAAGCTTGTCCAGTCTGAACGTAAGTAGGTGTGCATCTCCCATATCTCCTTGACAATCATCAAGCCAATGAATAACCATGTGATGATCGTGTCGACATTGAAACCCTTCACCAGGTTGGCGAGCTCGCCACTGCGGGGCTTAAAGACCTTACGGATGTCCACAGCAAGCCAGACGACAGCACCCATGGTCAGAACGGACAGAAGCAGGCTGAAGAAGAGGGATGGGAGGCCACACCAGAAGATCATGGGGTAGCGGGTGTTGAAGTAGTCATGGACGAAGGCTAGCTGCAGCTCCATGATCCTGAGGGCATCGCTGGCACCCACCTTCCCAGCAATGATGCTCTTCACCAGATCCCGGTTTGTGTCAAATATACACCGTTGCAGTGTGACATCCTCGAACCTGCACCGCAGCAGCCTGGACAAGGGGAAGGCCAGAGGGAGGTCCTTCTTCACAACGACCTTATTACCCTGCACCTGCTGGTCGTGTGGCTGCTGCTGAATGGGGCAGTACTCCCAGATCTTGTCCAGCGTGATCAGTGGCGGCGGAGACGTCTTCTTATTCTTCTTGGTAGCATCCTGCTGATCCTGGTCGGTAGACAATGCATACTGAGGCTTCTTCAGTCTGAATCCTCCTTTCTTCTGCTTTGTTTCTCGGTACACCAAGTACCTGTAGCCTTCCATCGTCACTGGGTTGAATAATTCTCCTCGGCTGCTGCTGCTCACTTGGTCACCATGCTCATGCATGGCACGCATGTGCTCTGCGACAAGCTCCGAGCTCCCGCCATGCCAGACGGCGCGGGACGCCAGTGTATGGGAATGAAATCTGTAGAAGCTCCTCACTATCTGCAGACCCCAGACCAGCCACAGCGGACCCGAGAAGCTGGACCCGCGCGTCCAATTCAGGAACGCGGCTCCCAGCAGCTTGAACACGTTCCTCCACTCGGTGAACCTTCGCCCCCGGCGGTCGGGGACACCGTAGCCGGAGATGTAGTCTGCGCTGTAGCGGAAGTTGACGAGCACGAGCGCCCAGACCGGGAACAGCTGGTTCTTGAAAGGCGCCGTCTGCATGGCCCCCAGGAGGTAGACAACGATGGAGTCGGAGACGGCGTCGAAGACGCTGAACACGGCCCTCATCAACGAGTTGTGGATGATGCGGCGGTAGAAGTCCATTAGGAACATGGCGAAGAACACCAGTGTGACGAGGACCACCAGGAACTCGATGCGGAACAAGATGACTGTCCTCTTGTTCAGCATGATGAACAGGGATGCCACATGCTCGCGGATATCATGCAGGCTCACCATCCTCGATCGCTCAGGGATGCCTGCATGGTCAAGGCCGTTTTGCAAACAAATTAGCTATAATAAACACTGAACCAAGAAACAAAAATTGGAGGCAAGCATGCTGGATCTATTTGCTCGTTTCATTTTACAATGATTCAGTATGATTCGTGTGTATTGTTGCCAGATTATTTGAAAATAAACAGAAAACCAGTCATGCTAGTTGTAGCTTCTTCTAGCTTGGTCATGAGAAGGACTCAAAGGAATATATGATATATGCATCATTTCAGCTAAGCTTATTTCTGGTTCCTCCATATGATGTGGGAAACCATACACACCCTTTCACGCTTGTTAGAAGTTGAGGATTCTATCTCTTATTCTTGAGAAAAATGACTGAAGTTTACAAATTATGCAATACAGAGTTAACTGTCAGCAACTTACGCTTTTGTATTATTATTACACTGAAATAAATGAAACAAGCAGTTTGTACTTACTTGGACGCAGTAGCTGCTGACAGGCGATGTCAGGAACCGGTGAGCTGTGTACTAGGCGATTTGCGATTGTGATTGCTATTGCCAGTTCCAAACCAACCTCCTTGTAGCTGAGAGACAATTAAACAATGCCGGAAGGTTAGATCTATGGTTATTGGGTACCCATGCCATGATGATGTAGAAATAATTTCCATTCATGTGAGGCCGAGGTCGTCTTCTTGGGTATTTATTCTTTATATCCACAGATGCATCGCGTTATATTGAATACAATAGATAGTGGGGTAGTAGTGGTAAAAAAAAGTAGAAAAACATTATTAATTCCAGCTCAAATGGAACTAGCCGGTTTAGGTTCCTTCGGATTTACTCCCTGGAACCAGGGAATGGTTCCAGGAGTCCATTCGAAAGAACCGAACAAGGCCTTACCAGTTTGTCAAAAAAAAAAAACGATTCCGACACAGTTCGGTTGGGTAGAGTTCGGTTCGGTGATTGCTCCAAAGAAACGGTAAACAAATTAGAAGTGACGTTGAGTCATGAGGTTTCATAAGCAACACCATCAATGACCTGTCCTACATAAGATATTTTTAATTGAACAGCCAGCGCATGGTTCGATCGTTTGAGTTGGGTTTTGATTTTATCTCTGCTGCTGCCCTATCTCTTTTGTTCTTTCTTTCCTGTCTGTACTGAACCTTTTTTTTTCCTTAATCAATTCCAGTAGGGGTCTAAAAAACCCCTCCTGTTTGTTAAAAAAACAGCTTCCACGGTTCGATTTTGATGTACCCTAGACCTACTCTCTTAGTGGTTCAGTTGCGTGAATAACGTTCTTTCAAGTGAAACGGGCTACAGTGTAGTCTCAGGTTTTTTTTGCCCCTGGCTCTTGCTCACACAATGCACAACGGAACAGAGCTGCTACGTCCAGCTAGATTGCTGCCGGCCATCTTTGCGCTGATCTTGGTTCCTCTCCGGCGACCCGCTCAAACTCATCTCTAAGTACTCTAAGAAGAATCTAAGTAGAAAACGATAAGATAAATCTATATTCAGATACCTCCGTGCAGTCCACATTTGGCTGTATGTTTTCCGTGTTTATGTCTACTCATTTTTTTTTTAAAAAAAAACAAAAGGGTCATCATGAGTAGTTCAGTTTTTTTCGTTTCAAATTTTGGTCGGCGTCTTTTCTATCGATAATGATACGATGAGGACATCCGTCCTATCACTCCCATCCGGATGCACTCCTGCTAAAAAAAATCCTCGTCCGCTCGTTCCACTCCCCACGGCGCCTCCATCCTGCGCATCCCCCACGGCGCCTCCGCTCGCCGCTGGTCGCTGCGCCTGTCGCTGGCCCCTTCTTCTCGTCCCCCGCCCGGCCAGAGCTCCCCACCGGCCCCTTCTTCTCGCCCCAGCCCGGCCAGAGCTCGTCGGCAACCACCTGCACCTGTGGCCGGCCCCTTCGTCCCGGCCGGCAAACAGCGCCATCGCTGGCCTATCCCCGCCATCCCCTCCGCCCACCTGCGACGATGACAGCTCGCATCCTGGCAAAAAGCTCGCTGGCGGCCTGTCCCCACCGCCCCCTCCGCTCGCCTCCAGAAGGGGCCGCAATGGTGCTACCCTCGGCCTACCCATCCCCCGTTTGTGCTACGTCTTATGGAAAAAGAAGGGTGAAAAACGCATGTTGTAAGCCTATGTTTCAGGTGTTTTAGATGTTTCATAGGTATGTTATAAATGTTTTATAAGAATGTTGCAAAAGTAGATCGGGATGTTGCATATGTTGCAATTGTTGTACACGTCTATTGCAGCTTTGTTCCCAATGTTTCATCTATTTTCTCATACGTATGTTCCAAGTGTGTTTACTTGGATATTGCATATATTTCACATATATGTTGCAAGTGTTTTATTTGGATGTTGCGTATGTTTTACAATGGTTTTGAGGTGTTTTTGCAAGTGTTTCAGATGCATGTTTCAAGTGTTTTATCTGTCTTAAGACATTTGTTGTAAGTGTTGCATTTGGATGTTTTAAAAGTAGATCGGGTGTTGCACCTCGCTTCCTCCTCGCCTTCGGCTGCCTCGCCTCGGTGTCTTCATCTTCTCTCGGCACCGGCTGGGCATCCAAACTAGAGGTGTAGGTGGGCACCGCCCCCTCCCCTTCTTCTCGAAGCTAGCAGCGCGTCATGGGATGGTGGCACGGCTTGGGATGGCGGTGCGGTGGGGGATGGGCCACCGTGACTTGTAGAGATACTATCCTTACATCCTACCAATATTCTAAAGTATCTCTACCTTTCTATCTCTATCTAATATTATATCTAACCGGACATGTTCCTATATACGGAAGTATATTTGGTTTCAGTCTAAATGTAGTACATCAAATAATTTGATATCAAGAAAAAAGAAAGTAAAGAGAAATGTAAAATCAGAGTTAACCTAAGCATAGTTGTAGGTATGCAAGCAAACATTCTTGAAAACGTCCCGGCTGCGGAATGTGGTCGGGGTGATCCTTTCTGTCGAAAGTGATCGCAGTTTCCGACAATTTCAGGAAGGCCGGGACGGCCTCGCCCAGGGCGGCCGCGTTGACCTCCCTATCCGTGAGCTTCTGTCGGCTCTTGGACTCGTATGCCGATGGTTCACCGAAGATCATGAGGCACCCTTTTGGGTCGGGATACGCATCCCTTTTTCCCTCATCGCCGGCGGATTCGGACGGCATGTCCATGCCGGTTGCCTTATAACCGCCCTTGAAGTAGCATTTGATGAGGTCGCACTCTTCAAGGGTGTGTTTGACCGGGCAGCCGTGGTTGTGGCACGGCATCTTGACTATCTTGTCGAAGCTGACATGGTTGAGCTTGCTAGTCTTTTGCTTGTGGACCCTGTCGGCCACCACGACAAACTCGCTGTCGCGATGCCTCCAGCTGTGCTTCTTGCCTTTCCCTCGCCGATTGCGGTCCTTAGCCTCGTCCGTGGGTTCGGCGTGGGCCTTGCTCTTGTATTTGCAAAAGATTGCCCGGACGGCCTCCTCGCCGGAGGCATGGCTTGTAGCGAGGTCGAGCAGCTCCCGCGTCATCCGTGGCTTACTGCGTTTGAGCTCATGGACGAGTGCTTCATTGGTCATGCCGGAGATGAACGCTCCGATCACGTCCACATCCACGATGTCGGGAAGCTCATTGCACTGCTGAAAGGTCCTTGTTTGGTTTTGGTAATTGAGTGACAACCTTAGGTGGACTAATATGTGTTTGAGTGAGATACATAGGTGATTAGTCCATAGGTACTTGTGTGAGCAACTTATGCCATGACGGTGAAGATGGCTTGGATTTGTTGCAAGGCTCACACATGTGATGAAGGAGCTCATTGCATATGAGACATGACATGGAGTCATGTGATCAAGGTGGAGAAGATCAAGACAAGACTTGGCTCGATGGACCAGTTGCAAGAGTGAAGGGCAAGTTGAGTGATGACTTGGCGCCGATGGACCGAGGTAACGGTGAAGAGCAAGTGAAGTCAAGATCGATGAACCAATACGGTCACGTGATGATATGTAGTGGATCATATCATTTGGTGTTTGGTTGGTGCATGTGTTGCATCGACATCGAAGGAGATGGAATAGAATGCGCAAGGCAAAGGTATATTTGTAGGGCATTTCATTTCACCGGTCAAAGGTTGTGTAGAGAAGTGCATGACCGTGTTTAGGATAGAAGGTCATACTATTAAGAGGAGCAAACTTGTTTGCATATCGGTCATCTAGTGCCACTTGAGCGATCTAACTTTGCATACGTGTTAGGATTGAGTGGCGTGGTGAAAAGAGTGCTAATCCTTTAGAAAAATGTTTGTGAAAAGCTAACACATATGCACAAAGTGTAGTTCACTTGGTAGTGTTGGCACATTTGCAAAGGAGAAGTCGAAAGGTGAAGAAAGGAGGCGAAACTAGGCTTTGGCTGCTGCCCTAGGGGCACCGCCCCTAGCTGTCCAGTGCACCGCCACCCTCATGACGGTGATCGGCTGGGAGGCCAAGAGCAACGTGTTGCCCTAAGGGCACCGCCACTGGCTGTCCGGTGGCACCGCCACCCCTAGGGCGATGCCCACCTAGACTTAGCCGAGCGCAGCAGGAGCCGAGGTGGTCACCGGAAGTAACGGTGTACACCACCTTATGGAGGGCGGTGGCACCGCCGGGGCTGTCCGGTGCACCGCCGCTTTTCGGCAGAAAGGAGGGGTTGCCGAGGGGGTCACCGTCTGGGCACCGCCATGCCTATGGCGGTGCACCGCCCCTTTTTACCCGAGACTGGTGACTTCACGGGGTTGGCCTGGGTGGTCACCGCGACCCCTAGGGCGGTGCCACCACCACCCCTATCTGGTGACCAATGGCTAGTTTCAAGCCATTGGAATTCGACCGTTGGGAGGGGCACCGCCGTGTCCGGTGCCAGTAACCGCCATGTCCGGTGCCCTCGCAGAAACCAGCAACTTTGCTCCAATGGCTCTGTCGACGAAATATGGTCAGCAATCTACCTAGGGGTATGCCCAAGGTAGTAGATTATCGGCAGACAGATGCGCAAGCTACAAACAAGATGGTGATGCAAGACAGACACGAGATTTTATCCAGGTTCGGCCGCCGTAAAGGCGTAATACCTACGTCCTGCGTCTGATTGTATTGCTGTATGTCAATGAGAGATGTTTTTTAGAGGGGTCCCCTGCCCACCTTATATAGTTCGGGGGGTAGGGTTACAGATCTGGAAACTAATCCTAGCCAGTTACAATTGCCATAGGTGGCCGGATAAGGATTCCTATTCTAACCGACCAGGATCTTGCTTGACCTCCAAATCTATCTTGATTCCTTGCGCGGGATTCCGAACAGATTGGCTGGGCCACACGTCGTCATCTAATGGGCCAGACCCCCTGATCCGGGCCGGCCCAAGCCTAACCGTAAGGGTATAGGGGTTAATACCCCCACAGGCTCTATTTGGCTTGGGGGCTATAAATAGAGGTGGAGCTTGGGCTTGGGCTGGTTGCTGAGCACCTTTAAGCCTTGGTGACTTGTGTAGGTGTGCTTGGGAGCCCTCTAACTCACTTGTGCTTGCAAGAGTGCGATCCAATTGTTAGTGAGTGTGATTCTAGTGCTTTGCATCGTGAGGTTGCATCGAGTGGCACTAGGTGATAGAGTTGCAAGCCGGTGGTGCTTGTTACTCTTGGAGGTTGCCACCTCCTAGATGGCTTGGTGGCTTGCGACTCCGTTGAAGCACGCGAGAAGATTGCGCGGTGCTCCGAAGGAGGATTTGTGAGGGGGATTGTGCTCACCCCGCGGGGATCACGAAGAGCAACTCTAGTTGAGCGTGTCATTGAGCTACCCTCACTTTTGAGGCAGGTTCTTGCAGTGCTGAACGTGCGGGCTTGGCGGGTGATGCCAATTAGCCGCTGAACTACCAAGTGAGCGGTCGACACAACAGGGACGTAACTTGGTGGCAACCAAGTGAACCTCTGGAGAAAATCACCGTGTCAACATTGTCTTCATAATCTTCTCGGTGGTTTGCATTTCGCGAAACACAAGCTTGCATTACTTTCATTTACATTGTGCTTGTGTAGTTGCTCTTGTGACTAGCTTAGCTTTGTAGCTTGCTAGTTGCCTTCTTGCTTGTGTAGCATAGAAGTAGCTCCCTTGCGTGGCTAATTTGGTTTTGGTAACCTTGTTAGTCACATTGCTTAGCTTGTGTAGCTAAGTAATTTACACTCTCTAATTTGGCTTGTGTAGCCTTGTTATTGAGCATTGCTAGTGAGCTTAGGGGCTTTGTGCTTTTGCTTCACTAGTTGTGTAGGAGCTCCCTCGGTTGTGTGAAGTACTAGTGCATAGGTTTGTGTGACCTTGCTCTATAATTAATTAGGTGAGCTCTAGCTAGCCCGGCACCTTTGTTGCCTAATTAGGATCTTAGTGCTTGTGAACTTAGATAGAGGGGTATAGTCTTGGCTAGACCAATAGTTTTAATTCCGCATTTGTTTCGGTTAGCCGACATGATTAATTTTAGAAAGGACTATTCACCCCACCTCTAGTCCACCATCTCGACCCTACAACTGCTTGGAAAAGCGGTGGATGTACTCGCACAGAGTCTCTCCCACTTTCTGCTTGCAGGCTTTGACATCCTAGGAGTTCCCAGGTGAAAGGTCCTAATGGCTAGAGGGGGTGAATAGCCTATTAAAAACTTCTACAACAACACTTAGCAAACTGGTTAGACAAATATGAGGCGAAGCAAGTGTTGCGCTAGCCTACTAAAAATGCAAGCCACCTACCACAATTCTAGTTTCTATAGTTTCTATCCACACAATGTCTATGTCACTACACTAAGTTAGTATGTTCTCAAAGGTTAACTAAAGAGCCATACTAACCAAACTAACAAGCTCTCACAACTAGCTACACTAAAGAGCTTGACAACTAGTTTGCGGTAACGTAGAGAGAGAGAGAGAGAGAGAGAGAGAGAGAGAGAGAGCAAGATGGTTATACCACCGAGTCAAGGAATGGACCAATCAATCACAAGAATGAATACCAATGAAGACCAATCACCTCGGAATCAAATGATGACACAATGATTTTTACCGAGGTTCACTTTCTTGCCGGCAAGCTAGTTCTCGTTGTGGCGATACACTCACTTGGAGGT